GGCTAAGGCCAGGCTGCCAGCAGGGCTGCCATGTGCTGGAGGCTCTAGGGAGTCCACTTCCTGAAGTCCACTTCCTGTCTTCTTCCAGCCTGCCTTCTGCATCTCACAGTCCTTCCTCCGTCTTCCCAGCTGCCTCCATGGTCCCACCTCTGCCTGACCCTCTGCTCTGGCTGTGGCATGTTCATGGCACCATGGGGCTTCTCACATGCAGGTGCATGCCACCAGGGCTTTGCTTAGCCACACCACCACCAGGCTCTGGGAACAAGGACTCTTGTTCTTGGTTGAGGGACACACAGCACTGAACAGACCCACAGTCCTGTTAGTAACTCATCGTGCTGCTTCTGGCCAGTGTCCTGTGACAGGTCCTACTCTTGGCGTTACCTCCCTCCCTCCCTTCCTTTCCCCCTCCCCCCTTTTTTGAGACAGGGTTTCCCTGTGTAGCCCTTGTTGGCCTGGAACTTGCTTTGTAGTCCAGGCTGTGGCCCCAGACTCAGGGAGATCCGCTTGCCTCTGCCCCCCAAGTGCTTGGATAAAAGGTGTGCTCAGTGCCTGGCACTATTGACATTTCTTTAAAACGAATGTTACAGAAAACTAAAATCTACAATTTTTAGCCTGAGAGTACAGAATAGGTCATTGCTAACTCTGTTTCATGTTGGAAGCTGCTCTATGATGCAGGCAGGGTACAGGTCCCATCACATGACCATCCCAAGGGCTGTGTTCAGGGTAAGGTATCTGGCACGTGCTGGTCTTTTTTTTTTTTAATAACAGTTTCAGCTATATGTGTGTGCACACATGTGCGAATGTGTGGTGGTTGTAAGGCACCAGGTAGGTGCAGGGAACTGAACCAGGGGCATTCTCAAGAGTAGTGAGTACTCTTAACCACCTGAGGCTTCAGTCTCCTGCTTCAGCCCCTGCGTGTTGGGGATTCCAGGCATGCACCCGCCCACAGACGGTGTTGGGGGTTTATACCCAGGTAACCACTTCTATTTCAAACGATCAGGCTGAGCTGAAGGAAGTGCACGCTACCTTAGGTCCACTTTTTAAAGTTTTTACTTTATGTGTGTGAGTGTTTTGCTTGTATGTTGTCTGTGTACTGTGTGTGTACCTGGCATCTGTGGAGTCCACAAAAGAGTGTTGAATTCCTCTGGATCAGGTGCTGGGATTCAAACCTGGGTCCTCTGGAAGAGAGGTCAGTGACTGTAACCACTGAGCCTTGCCTCCAACACCTATATCTTTGGCAAGGCAGTTGTCTGTTTTTCTGGAATGTGGTAGACATTCAGTATGTGTGTGCAGTTGTGTGCAATGTCTGACTGTTAATGAGGGCCAGGGCGGCCGGCAGACCTGTCACTGCGGAAATTGCTTGTTGATTTGGATAGGGCACTCGGTATCCTCTGCTCGCTGCTGTGAAGTGTCCCATTCATTGCTGCCCACCCTGGCTTTCCTGCTCCACTCCAGACTATCAAGATTTATTTCTCCCTCCCCGCTTCCCAGCCTCTGGTAGACCCTGCTTTTCTCTCTACTTCTTTGAGATCAACTTTATTTATTTTGTTTTTGAGAGTTTCTCTGTGTAGCCCTGGCTGCCCTGGAACTCACTATGCAGACCAGACTTCTTTTAACTCACAGAGATCCGCCTGTCTCTGTCTCCAGAGTGCTGGGATTAAAGGTGTGCGCCATCACTGCTCAGCATGATGTTTTAAAGGGGGGGGGTGTCTTGGGGATTTAGCTCAGTGGTAGAGTGCTTGCACAAGGCCCTAGGTTCGATCCTCAGCTCCAAATTTAAAAGAAACAAAAAACAAAAAAACCCTTATGTGTTTATTTTACACATGGATTGTGTGGGGAATATGTGGACTTGGGAGGACAACTTGTGGGCGTTGTTTCTTTCCACCTGAAGGTTGCGAGAGTGGAACTCAGGCTGTCGTTAGTCGTGGTGGCGGGCACCATCTTGCCCCCATGTGCAGGTCACCACACGTGAAATTTGCCTTTTGGTACCTGAATCTCTGCACCTAACAGCACAATGACCTCCACTTCCATCTGTGGGGCTGCAGGTGACAGTTCCATTCTTGTCTGTGGCTAGATAATATTCCATGTACACTTCCTCTGTCTGTCCACAAGACCCTGGTTTACTGTGAGTCTTGGCTGATGTGAAAAGGGTTGCACAATCCTCACACGCTGTCCTCACATCTTGGCATGTGTGCTCAGGAGTGGCACTGCTGGAGCACTCACATTTATGAGTGCTCTGTGGCCCTTGGTGGCCCTCTGTGGCCCTCTGTGGCCCTCGGTGGCCCTCGGTGGCCCTCGGTGACCCTCCATAGCCCTCTGTGACCTTCGGTGGTCCTCGGTGACCCTCTGTGACCCTCTGGCCCTCTGTGGCCCTCGGTGGCCCTCTGTGGCCCTCGGTGGCCCTCTGTGATTCTCTGTGGCCCTCTGTGACCTTCTGTGGCCCTCTGTGACCCTCTGTGGCCCTCAGTGGCCCTCTGTGACCCTCTGGCCCTCTGTGACCCTCTGTGGCCCTCAGTGACCCTCGGTGGCCCTCAGTGGCCCTCTGTGATTCTCTCTGGCCCTCGGTGACCCTCTGGCCCTCTGTGGCCCTCTGTGGCCCTCTGGCCCTCTGTGGCCCTCAGTGGTCCTCTGTGGCCCTCTGTGATTCTCTCTGGCCCTCTGTGACCTTCGGTGGTCCCCGGTGGCCCTCTGTACTCTTCCTTGGGATCCCTAGCTCGCAGCAGCTGTTATTTCTTTGCACATTGCCAACATTTGTGGGGTTTTTCCCTTCTTTGTTTTTTGTTTTGTTTTTTCAGGACAGGGTTTTTCTCTAGCAGCTCTGGCTGACCTGGAACTCACTCTGTAGACCAGGTTGGGCTCAAACTCACAGAGATCCCCCTGCCTCTCCTCCCAGGTGCTGGGATTAAAGGCATGCACCTCCTTCTTTCCTTTTGGTACTTAGCAATTGTGACTGGGGTGAGATGGTGTCTCATAGCGGTTTTGAAATGCATTTCCCACTTGATGGAGAGTTGTGAGTCAACATATACTTGAGGTCCTGTGAAGTGCTGGTTGTTCTGAAGTGGCTTAAATCCAGGTTCCTCTCTTACAGGGCTTGTGGTCCATCCTGAGGGAAGGATGTTCTTGCTGGGGCAGAGCAGACACAGCCATAGAGGTTTAGAGGAGGGAGATCCACAGACAAAGGAAGGGATGTGTGTGTCAGGTACCTCCGGGCAAGAAGGGTCAGCGCCCCTCATGATCATGGCTGCTCATTCCTCCTGATGCATAAAGCTAGTCCTACGCAGGCCACGGAGCTGAGAGGCCTCACTGATCTTGGGCCAAGTGTTGTCTAGGTTCTGTGTGCACAGGTGCCGTGGTGTGCGTGTCGAGGTCAGAGTTGCATTTGTCCTGCCACTGTGGGTTCTGGGCATCAGGGCCTTCAGCAGATGCCTTTACCCACTAGGCTGTGTCTGCAGCTCCCCCATGCATTTCTTAAGGGCATTTCCTGTGTGTGTTCACCCACTCCTGCAGCACCCGGCCAGTTTCGGGTATAGCCAGTGCTGGCTCATGGAATGAAGGTGGTAAAACCTGGTTCGTGCCAGAGCTGATGCCTGTGCAAAGGATGTAGGTGTTGGGTCTGCACAGATGTGATGTCAGTGGCTCTGTCCCGTGTTTGTTTTGGTGCCTGTTGTAATCGATTGTTGCTCCCTGTGCTTTGTAGTCTAAGGTCACGTTGTAGACGTCTATCTTAAACATCGTCCTATTGGATGCAGAATGCCTGTCAGATACACTGATGTGTTCTAGCCTGAGTAGCTTTGGGACAGAATCACAGAGTGGCACACTTCACTATGACATCTGCTTCCTAGTTACCTGTGGGGCGTTTACCCACCAACCCCACAGCTCCCCAGAGTTTTCTTGAGTGTGAGCAGCAGGAAATATTAGATAGAAGGATTTAGATTGTGGAGATGAACAGATAGAAAATAAAGGATAGCTTCCAGAGGGCCTGGAACCTATTCCAACGGGCCCCGACTGTCTCTGCCCCAGGGTTTTTATAGAGACGCCAAGGGGTGGAGCAAAAGACCTCCTCCCCCAGCACAGCCCAGTGCAGACCATCTCAGACACCTGCACTCAGGCCCGTGGTCCTGATCATCCTCTCTATGTGGATCTGCTGGGTAAAGCCACGAGGAACCTGAAAATGGGTTCCCACAGTCACCTTGTATTAATCGCCCTGTGAGCAGTGGACTTGCTTCCAGTGTTCGAAAGCCATAGTCCCTTGTACATGCTTCAAGTTCAGCATCTCTAGTCAAGGCTGAGTGTGGCGTAGAAGGTGGTGAAGGTCAGTCTTGGTCTTAGTTTCATTGAGCACATTGGGGTGTGGGGGGCACTTAGTGTTGGAAGGAAGGAATTCCTGAAGTAACGGCAGACATGGAGAAAGGAAAGGGTGGAAGCTTTCTTCCAGGCTTCAGGTTTTGTCTGAGTGGAGAGGATTGCTGGTGCAGTCTCTCACCTCACCCCGCTCTGTGGCACAGCTGCTGTTCTCCAGGTGCTGGCTCTTGACCTGACTGAGCCTGTACCTGGATTTCCTTGGATGGGGTTTGCCCCACCCCACCCCCACCCCGACTCGGCACCCCGACTCTGCACCTGTGGCTCACCCGTGGCTCAAGTGGGCCGTGCACTGTCGGTCTCTTTTACTGCCTTTTTGTGTGAGCTAGAAGTCAGGAGTGTTGTTTTCTGTCTTGGAGAGTTGTCCTTGACTTGGAGAGCGACCGAGTGTGTCAAAATCTATTTATAGAATGGCCGTGGCAGCAGACTCCAGTGTGTCTCATCAGCAGGTCATTAATGGGGGTGGGGTAGCCCAGGCAATCTGCAGAGCCAGCTACCTGGAGTGAGCACCTGTGGGTAAATGCTGAGGGCGTTTTCTTTGGGACAGTCCATGACTGTCTTTGCATCTTAGTGATTCCTGTAGGATTTGCTCCTCTAAATTGGAGGACTGGTGACTGACCCCCCTCTTTTCCATTCCAAAGGCAAATCGGGAGCGGTGCCGAGAAAAATTTCCTTACTAGATGACATTTCATCGCAATGTCCGATCGTTTGGGGCAAATAACCCAGGGCAAGGATGGGAAAAGCAAGTACTCGACTCTCAGCCTGTTTGACAAGTATAAAGGAAGATCAGTAGGCGCCGTCAGATCCTCAGGTAAGGCCCGGCCAAAGGCCCCCCATACGCTTCCTTTCCTGTAAGGTGACCAGACACCTGGCCGGGCAGCTGTGTCCCTGTAGACTCAGCGGGGCTGCTGGGTGGATGACACACAGCATGTGCGCAGCCTTCCCTTTTAGTTTCCTGGTTCTGACTTTGTGGAACCTGGTGGAACAAGTTCATGAAGGACTTGTTGCCACCCACAGGGCCTTCCTGGGGGTTCTTGGGCCGTAGCCAGGCCATCTCAGGGTGCCTGGGTGGTCACTGTGGGCTGAGCTTCCTGGTCCTGGCCCCTCCCTGACGTGACCCCTCCCCCCCCAGCTGCCTCAGTAGAATGAGAGTCTGTGCAGATCCAGCGGCCCTTTGTCTCTGCAGTCTGGGGAGGAGCTGGCAGGGCTGGACTGACTGCCAGGCACTTGTCTTTGCTCGGCTTTGTCTTTCTCCCTTGGAGGCTGAGCAGTGGTGGGAACTGGCCTCTTTCCTCCTGTGAGGTGTGTGTTCTGTCCCGTGCACTTTCCCTGCAGTTATTCCTAGACATGGCTTACAGAGTCTCGGGAAAGTTGCCACAGCCCGGCGGATGCCACCGCCTGCAAACCTGCCAAGTCTGAAGTCTGAAAACAAAGGAAACGACCCCAACATCGTGATAGTACCCAAGGACGGGACAGGATGGGCCAACAAGCAGGACCAGCAAGACCCAAAGAGGTGAGTAGCAGGAGGGTGATGACGAGGAGCGGGCGTGTATCAAGGCTCGTTGCATCTTCTGCTCTGTAGGAGGCAGGTCTGGCCTCGGAGAGGGAGAGCTGGGAGTGAGAAGTATGGCCGGGCTTCTCTTTGACTGTGTGCACTTCGCTTCTTCCTTTATGTGGCTGGGCCTTTGAGCTGATGAGTAGCATTTCTCTGGATAACCATACCCCCCAAGGGAGTGTGTGCAGTGATTCAGACCGTCCCCAGAGAGCCACTGGGCTGGGGCTGGGGCCCTGTGTGCTCCATGTTGGGAGAATGTAGCTTGGCAGCCGCAGCCTTAGGAGACTCAAGTCCTGAGCCATGTGTCTCTAGAGAGACAGCCGCCTGGCTGCATGAGCCCTCAGATGATGAGACTTCTTTGATCTCTGAGCCTCTGCATGTCTTGATCTCTTCTTCTCGGGGAGAGGGCCATGTCCAGGCAGGGGGAGCTCCAGGGGGGGGTCTCCTGCTGGAGCTTGCTGCTGAGTGTGAAAACCAAGACTGTCCGGCTTCCCTCCCCCTCCCCCTCCCCCTCGCGTTTGTTGTGGTCCCTTCCTGCTGACATGGGGAACTAGATGGTGAGAGTGACCCAGCCTGCATCCTGCCATCCAGTCCCCCATCCTTCAGGCTTGTGCTGGAAATGGCCCTGGAAGCGTTGGGAAGGCTGTCCCTGCAGTATGGCAAAGAGGAGGCTCCTGTAGCGTGAGGGAACCGTGTCACCAGCTGATATGCTGGGGAGTGTTTGAAATGGGCCCTGAGCTGTTTAAGCGATTTCCAGCCAGGGATGGTGTTGCACACTGTTAACCCCAGCGCTTGGGGGTAGAGACAGGCGGATCTCTATGATTTCAGGACCAACCTGGTCGACGTAGTGAATTCCGCGTCAGTCAGGGCTAAAAGGAGAGACTATCTCAAACAAAACAATGTTTTGCAGGCAGTTTGTGGGGGTGCTGTTAATTGACAGGTAGAACCCGATCTTCAGACTTGGCCTTGTGTGCTGTTTCCAGTCTCAGACCACTTGTGGCTTGTTGGGACTTGGAGGATAGTTCACTTCTGAGCCCCAGGGTCCCGCCTTCAAGGAGGAATAGTCCCTAGCTCCAGGGGTGGTCACCAGGGCATTGTGGTGCACCCGTGGGATAATAACTTGCCATAGAGGGCCTGGCACACGTTAGCTGTGTTCACCACCTCTTCCATGAAGCAGATGTGGTACATACAGTTCAGTGGAAGCTCTTCTGCCTCTACTTCCAAAAGCTGCGGAGAGGCCAGAAAGTGCTGCCCCCCCCCCCCCAGTCTCAGCAGTGGCAGAGGCAGTCCCAGACACCCGGGTGAAGGCCACCTGCCGGGAGGAAGTGAAGAGGGAGCAGTTGAGGAGGCTCCCCATTGCCCTGGCCTGGCCTTCTGTGGGGGGACTTGGAGGCTCGGTTTGGGGACGCAGAGGTGGTTAGAAGGTGATGTGAGAGGAGGACCAGTGGTCTTCAGTTTGTCATTCTCGTGACTGGTGAGTGACGGGTCAGGTGGACTTGGAGCAGTGTGTCTGTGGAGTCTGGCCATCACATGAGCCCCTGGCAACCTCTGCTTCTCACCAAGTGGGCAGCTACCTTGCCCAAGGCTGTCAAGTGCAGGGCTCTGAGGCAGAGCGGAGGGCTCCACACACCCTTCCTAATTCCTCTCAGTCAGGTGGGGCACATGCTGTGGCCTACGTAAAGGCAGCTCGTGATAGCTTTAAGTTTCAAGAAATCTTGGTCCAATGGCTTCATTCATATGTTGTATGACTTTGTTAACAGAAAGTGTCCAAAGACCTATGTGTGTGTGAAATGTTTGTGGCCGTTCTCTGTATTGGGAAAAAAGAGGAACAGAAACTGATGAACTATGGCTCATCCAACTGCAGTTACTCATCATTAAAGCTAGTTATATGTGTAAAAAGCTGCAGTAGACTGAAAAAAGAGATTGTGGAGTCGTACATATACACAGGGCAATCTTGTGTTAAAAAGATCATATGAGGGCTGGAGAGATGGCTCAGAGGTTAAGAGCACTGACTGCTTTTCCAGAGGTCCTGAGTTCAATTCCCAGCAACCACATGGTGGTTCACAACCATCTGTAATGAGATCTGATGCCCTCTTCTGGCCTGCAGTCATACATGCTGTATACATAATAAATAAATAAATCTTAAAAAAAAATCATATGAACATGTGAATAGAAAAATCTATGGGAATTGGAGCTTATGTCTGGGAAATGAATGGTTGCGATTGTTATTTATACTTATAAATTTTTCTTTTATTGAGAGCATACATTTCTTTATGCACTGAAGCATGGTAGAAGTCCATTGAGTCTCAGAGCGGGGCATCCTGGTCAGGAATGGAGCTCAGGCCCCTCACACCAGTGACTCAGTTTCTCCATTAGCAGATCTTTTATTGCTTCTTCAAGTTCATGTGACAGCTGTTGGAGGCAGGCAGCAGACTGCCCCATGTCCTGGGCAGTGTCGCTGCGTCACAGGCCATGGGTCACCACCGCCTTGTGGGCGTCCCCGCGGGGGCCGGCAGGTGCCCTGTGCGGAGTCTGACCCCACTCTGCATCCCACTCTCTTCCAGTTCCAGTGTGACAGCCTCTCAGCCGCCGGAGTCGCAGCCGCAGCCGGCTTTGCAGAAATCTGTCTCCAATTTGCAGAAGCCGACACAGTCAATCAGTCAGGAGGTAGGTGCTGGGGACCTTGCCCTGACTTGCTGAGGCCTGGTGGGTGCTGCTGGGTGACAGAGTTGAGCACAGGCTTTGTTTGCTTGGGTGAGATTGAGTTGTCTTGAGCTGACTCCACCTGGTGCTCTGTGGACACTAGTGTCAGGACAGGAAGTGCAGTCAGGCCACAGAAATGTCTGGTGAGTTGGAAAACACAGCCGGCTGACTGTGGTGCCCCACACTTTTTTCTTTCTTTCTTTCTTTTTTGTTTTGTTTGTTTTTCAAGACAGGGTTTCTCTGTGTAGCATTGGTGCCTGTCCTGGATCTCACTCTGTAGACCAGGCTGGCCTTGAACTCACAGAGATCCACCTGGCTCTGCCTCCCGAGTGCTGGGATTAAAGGCGTGCGCCACCACCGCCCGGCTCCTTTTTTTTTTTTTTTTTTTTTTTGAGAGACAAGGTCTTACTATGTAGCCCTGGCTGGCCTGGAACTGGCCATGCAGACCAGGCCGGTCTCAGGCTCACGGAGCCATCTGCCTCTGCCTTGCTTAGTGCCACCACGCCTGCAGCCCTCAGCCACTGTCTTGACGCCTTAGTTGTGTCTTGTCTCCTGGATAATACAATGCTGTCATCTTCTGTGACTGGAAGAGTGTGAGAAGAGCCTGTGGCTACTCCGGGACACCGTCCTCTCCAGCACTAAAGATCTCTGTTTCCATCAGATTCCATACATACTGGCCATAGTCCCTTGGGCCTGTGACGTCACAGTGTGGAGTTGAATTCCTTTTCTTTCCCAGATTTAAAGCCAAGTGGGATTATAACTCCTGGTGTTTCAGATTTAGCCATTTAGCCATGTAGACCTTGGTAAATGCACTGGGTACTGCACCTCTGTAAGAAGAGTGTGGGCCAGAGCCAGGGAGGCTACATAGTGGGATGACTGTGGCTTATAGTAAGTTTTGGTTTTACTCAATCACTGGACAAGCCTCAGTGAAACATTTCACTATTAGTTAGGATAAGAATTTGTACTGTATCAAGCTAATAATAGAAAAAATTAAATAATTAATTTTAGAAAAGAGAAAAGGAAGGGTGTGAGCGTCGACAGTTTTGGCCAGTGGAGGAAGGAGTCCGGGTCCCACATGGGTCGTTTGTCTAGCATTCAACTCTTCTTAAAGACTGGGGTTTCTCTCGAACTTGGGAAGGGAGAGGGATACCTTATGACGTTACTTTTAAAGGTCTTTGGATTTACAGTCCACTGCTTATGAAATAGAAATCACCAGCCATGACTGGCATCCCTCCATTACTGTTCCTGGTATGGCCTGTGTAACCCCAGGTCTATAGACATGGGGGAGGTGTGTAGTTCCAGTTGGGGAGGGGAGGGCACCAGCCCCGGGGCCCTCTGCTTACAAGAGGTCCTCCAGGCCCAGCTGCATGCCCTCCTGCCCTTTGGGCATGTCCTGTGTGGTCAGGGGGCCTCTGCAGACTTGGCACAGTTCCCAGGGAAGCCCTTGCCTGTGCCCAGGGCTAGCAGACACAGGCAGGCAGACATTTTCTGCATGGGAGCGGTGGGTAAGGCTGGGTCCCGTCATGAGCGTCATGTCTGTGTTACTCATTCTCGGATCCCATTTGGGTTCTGACCAGACCCTTCCAGAGGCAGGGTGGGACTTCACTTGATCCACAGGTTGCTAGCCTCATGAACTTTCAGCAAAGGCTTCTTTCTCTAGCAGGCCCGAGGCTGAGGCAGGCAAGGGTGGATGAGTAGGAGAGACGGGCCTCTGAGGGAAGTCAGGCTGTGGAAACCACCAGTCGTTACATGGTCGGGCATGTTAGGTTTCTTGTGCGCCTTCCTCAGTTTATCCCTGGCACAGATTGAGACGTGCTGAAATTGAGGTTGGAGCTCTGTGTGGGCCTGGGACGGCCTGGCAATGTTTGCAGAGTTCGCCATGAGGGCGGGGGTGGGTTGCGTCCTCTGTGTTTGTTCATCAGCTCTGCTACTCTGGGCCCCAAGCTCCTGACTGCCTGGGACTGCTGTTCCTAGAGCCCCGAAAGTGGCCATCTGTCCTCTCCATGAGGCTTCAGTCTAAAATGCAACCCTCACCCCACTCTTCACTTTGTGGTCCTAGGGGTGGAACCTGGGGCCCACAGCTCTGAGTGCCCCGTCCCAAGGCGCGCGCTGCACAGCAGCTTAGCTGAGCTGGCTCTCCTTGTTTCCTTTCTCTTAGAACACAAGTTCAGTGCCAGGTGGACCAAAGTCATGGGCACAGCTGAGTGGAAAGCCAGTCGGACACGAAGGTGGTAAGTGGGCATGGGTGGCCTGGGTGGGCTGAGTTTAATATTGGCTGTTAGAAATGTTCCACGTGAGCTGGGCAGAAGAACCCCAACTCTGGAGCTATGCTGCTGGGGAGTAGATACTGCCAGTGCCCCGTTACCCCGCTGCCTCCCTGTCCCTGACGTGGCTCCACCCCAGTGCAGGGAGCAGCTACGTGCTGTCATTCACCCAGAGCCTTTGGAGGATTGGGTGACATTGGTTACTGTGAGTATCCTGACAGGCAGTAAGATCTGAAAAGGTTGTCAGCCCACTGTGCGGAACTGTTCACGAAAGCGAAGGTGAAGGTGTGATGCACTGCAGGATGAAGCGTTCAGAGTAGTCCAGTAGCTTCCAAGGCAAGGTCTGACTGGGTGAAGTAGTTTGGGGGGGTCGTGTGCAGATGGGCACAGTCCCTGCAGCTCTGGAGGAGCTGAGCCCAGAGACAGCAGGTAGGGTTTTTTGTTGTTGTTTATTTTTTTTAAGATATATATATTTTTATGTCTATGGATGTTTTTTCTGTACAACAGAAGAGGTCATCTGATCTCACGACACTAGTTACAGATGGTTGTGAGCTACTGTATGGGTCCTGGGAATTGAACTGAGGACCTCTGAAAGAGCAGCCATCTCTAGCCACTAGCAGGTGGTTTTGAGAGCACCAGGAATTGAGATTTTTCTCCCCCCCCCATTATTTATTTATTTATTTTTCTGTTATCAGCTTGATACAGTATAAATTCTTATCCTAATAGTGAAATGTTTCATTGAGGCTTGCCCAGTGATTGAGTAAAACCAAAACTTATTATAAGCCACAGTCGTCCTAGGGTCCCATCCCCATCACACACCCCCTCCCCCCATGTAGCCTTCCTGGTTCTGTGGGTTGCAGTCTGATTTTTTTTTTTTTTTTTTTTTTTTTTTTTTTTTTTTTTTTTTTTTTTTTTTTTTTTTTGCTTTATATCTAGTATCCACTTATGAGTGAGTACATACCATGTTTGTCCTTCTGGGTTTGGGTTACCTCACTCAGGATGATATTTTCTAGTTCCATCCATTTGCCTGCAAATTTCATGCTGTCATTGTTTTTCTCTGCTGAGTAGTACTCCATTGTGTATATGTACCACATTTTCTTAATCCATTCTTCAGTTGACGGGCATCTAGGTTGTTTCCAGGTTCTGGCTATTACGAATAGTGCTGCTATGAACATAGTTGAGCATGTGTCTTTGTGGTATGATGGAACATTCCTTGGGTATATGCTCAAGAGTGGTATGGCTGGGTCTTGAGGTAGATTTTCTGAGAAACTACCATATTGATTTCCAAAGTGGTTGTACAAGTTTGCATTCCCACCAACAGTGGAGGAGTGTTCCCTTTGCTCCACATCCTCCAACATTGATTGTCATTAGTGTTTTTGATCGTAGCTGTTCTGACAGGTGGTATCTCAGAGGTATCTCAGAGGTGGTATCTCAGAGTCGTTTTGATTTGCATTTCTCTGATGATTAAGGATGTTAAGTATTTCTTTAAATGTCTTTCAGCCATTTGTGATTCTTCTTTTGAGAATTCTCTGTTTAGCTCTTTAGCCCATTTTTTAATTGGATTGTTCAGTATTTTGATTTCTAGTTTCTTGAGTTCTTTATATACGTTGGAGATCAGTCCTCTGTCAGATGTGGGGTTGGTGAAGGTCTTTTCCCATTCTGTTGGCTGTCTTTTTGTCTTATTGACTGTGTCTTTTGCCCTACAAAAGCTTCTCAGTTTCAAGAGGTCCCATTGATTAATTGTTGTGCTCAGGGTCTGTGCTGCTGGTGTTATATTTAGGAAGTGATCTCCTGTGCCAATGCGTACAAGAGTACTTCCTACTTTTTAAATTGAGATTTTTCTATATGAAGTCTTTTTTTGTTTGTTTGTTTTTGTTTTTTGAGACAGGGTTTCTCTGCGTAGCTTTGCTCCTTTCCTGGAACTCACTTGGTAGCCTAGGCTGGCCTCGAACTCATAGAGATCCACCTGCCTCTGCCTCCCGAGTGCTGGGATTAAAGGCGTGCGCCACCACCGCCCGGCTACATGAAGTCTTGTAGGTCTCTTAGCTGGTGTATTTCTGACAGCGCTGACCAGTCAGCAGCCGATGCCTGTGAGAGAGAGGTGACGCCGCCAGGGATAGCAACACCGTGCAAACTGCTGGAACCTGAAGTTGCTGTCTTTGGGGAAGCAGCCCTGGCAGCCGGTTTTACTTTTGTCCTTTGCCCTGGGGTACCTCCCACTCCCGTGTGTCCCTTCAGCCAGGGCCGTGCCATGCTTGATCTGTAGCTCCTGCTACCTCCAGTGGCTGTGGATGGCCAGCACAGAGGGACATGTCTGTGGCCGGAATCCACGGGGGACAACCCACACAGCTACAAGTTAGTGCCGCAGGGTCTCCCAAGAAACTGCAGACATGTCCAAATGTGCATGGCCTCACTCTGGGAGCAGCTCAGCTCACACCGTGAAAGGACTTTGCTGTTGTTCAGTTTGTTTTTAAATATTTTTTAAGATTTTATTTATTTATTATGTATACAGAAGAGGGTGCCAGATCTCATTACAGATGGTTATGAGCCACCGTGTGGGTGCTGGGAATTGAACTCAGGACCTCTGGAAGAGCAGTCGGTGCTCTTAACCTCTGAGCCACCTCTCCAGCCTGAGAGCACTTTGCTGATGGAGGTGAGGTGAATGGTGAGAGCAGAGAGGGTAGGCAACTAGAGGTCTTCAGAGAGGCTGCAGGCAGAGCAGCGACTGCACTGTCAGCTGGGTCCTAGCTGTCTGTCCCCTATGCAGGTTAAGTGTTGTGTGTACGCATGCGTCCATGCTCATGTGGGTATGCAGGCATGTGGTGTGTGTGCATATGTAGCAGGCTTCCTTTTGGACCACCGACCAGCTCCCAAATAAAGACACAGAGACTTAAATCAGTTATGGGTGCTCAGCCTTAGTTTATGATCGTCCCACTAGCTCTTGCATTTACTTTGACCTGTTTCTCTGCATCTGTGTTTGCCTCGGGGCTTTTTACCTTTCTTTCATTCCATGTCTGTCTGTCTTTCAGCTGTCTGTCTGGCCCTGGTGTCTCCCTTTTTTTTTTTTTTTTTTAAATAAATAGTTTATTTATTTTTATTTTATGTGCATTGGTGTTTTGCCTGCAGGTATATCTGTGTGAGGGTGTCAGATCTTTGAGTTACAGACAGTTGTGAGCTGCCATGTGGGTGCTAGGAATTGAACCCAGGTCCACTGGAAGAGCAGGCAGTGCTCTTAGCCACTGAGCCATCTCTCCAGCCCCGGCGTTTTCCTTTCTTTCTCCCTCAATCTCTCCTTCCTTCTCTTCTCCTTCTAATTCTCTCTGCCCGCCAGTCCTGCCTATCCCTCTATTGCCTAGCTATCCACCGTTCTGGTGCCTTAGGCAGGCAAGGTAAAACAGCAACCATCTTTACGTAATTAAATAAATGCACGTCAACAAATGTGACACATCTTTACATAGTTAAAGTGACATTCCACAAAATGCCTATATACCGGTGTGAAGACCAGAGGATAATTTCAGATGTCATTCCTCATGAGTAATCTGCCTCGTTTTTAAAGATTTATTTATTTATTATGTATACAGTGCTCTATCTGCATGTATCCCTGCAGGCCAGAAGAGGGCATCAGATCCCATTATAGATGGTTGTGAGCCACCATGTGGTTGCTGGGAATTGAACTCAGGTCCTCTGGAAGAGTAGCCAGTGCTCTTAACCACTGAGCCATCTCTCCAGCCTCATTTTTTGAGACAGGGTCTCTCTGGCTTGAAGTTCACTGTCTTAAATCTCTCTCTGTTGCTATGACAAAACACCGTGACCAGAGTGACTTGGAGAAGAAGGGTTTGTTTTAGCCTGCAGCCACCATGAATGGCAGTGTCAGGGAGCTTCTGGTGGGAATCCACGCGGCTGGAGGCAGAGGTCATAGAGGGATGCTGCTTACTGCCTTGCTCCCCCTGGCTTGTTCAGTTCGCTTTTTTTATATATGATCTGCCCAGGGGTGGCACTGTCACCCAGTCAGCTGGGTCCCCTACATCAATCAGGAATCGAGATAACGCCCCACAGACTTGCCTCTTGGCCAGCCTTACAGAGGCGTTTTCATAGGCTCCCTCTCTGGTTTTAAGTGGCACACCATTATGCCTGGCTGTTGACTTTTTAGAAATTGTGTGTGTGCACGCCTTTAATCCCAGCACTCAGGAGGCAGAGGCAGGCGGATCTCTGTGAGTTCAAGGCCAGCCTGGGCTACAAAGTGAGTTTCAGGAAAGGTGCAAAGCTACACAGAGAAACCCTGTCTCGGAAAACCAAAAAAAAAAAAAAAAAATGAAATGGTCTTGGGGTGACACCAGGACCGCATTTGGCTTTGTGGGGCTGGGAACAGCTAAGGAGGTGAACTACAGTCAGGGGCTGAGTCTGTGACATTCAGAAATTATCGGCCACAGCCTTGTGGGGGCGTCTGTTGGCGTGGCCCCATACAAGGCAGTTTTCTTCAGGAGCTGATCTCGCTCATGGACTCTGCTTCCTCACCCCCGGGCAGGTGGCTCCTGTGGGGTGGACAGGGACGTGTTGGAGCAGAGGGGACATCCTGCTCCCTCCTCCTGCCAGCCCAGGACAGCTGAGGGCTCACCCTTGCTGACTGCCAGTGCAGCTGCTCCCAACACGGCCTGCCTGCAGCCACCGCGGCCTGGGGGCCAGGAGAGCTGTGTCTCACTCTGTGTCTCTCACGCTGTCTTCTCTGCCTCTCCTGACAGGTTTAAGGGGCTCAAGCCGACTGTTATCCTTCTCTCCCGAGGAATTTCCGACGCTGAAAGCAGCCGGAGGGCAGGACAGGGCTGGCAAAGAAAAGGGCGCCTTCGATCTGTCGTATGGGCCAGGACCAAGCCTCCGCCCTCAGAGTGAGTGAAGGGCAGCTTTGCCCCCGGGCCCTGACTGGGCACCAGACCCCCTCTTCCTTTCCCCTTTCCAGGTGGGCCCCAGCTGCTGGGCCTAGTTGTTGCCGCACAGAAGCCGGCTGCTAGCTTGACATGTGCATGTCCTGACTGCCTCCCTGGCCTGTCCCTCACCTCTGTCTCTCATCCCTCTGGCTGAAGCAGGTCTTGACACCATCCATGTACCGTCTGTTACTACTTCCCCTAAGCTGGATCACTGGTGCTTCCTGGATACATGCCGGGTGCCACTGGCTTCATCAAGTCCCCGCTTCTGTAACCTGTCCCCAGACCCCTGTGTGTGCTGATGTCACCCCAGGAGCTGTGACAGCTTCCACCCTTCCCCACCCACATCAGAATTGACCAGTGTATCCACAGCCAGCACTGGTGTCCCTCTGGTGCTGGGGAGGCCTGTGTGGTGCTTTGCCAGCAAGCCTTTGGTGTGTGGTTCTGGTGTGGAAGATCTGGGTTTTCTCTCTGGCTGACCAAGGAAGCCGAACTACATCCTGGGTTCGGTCTTGAAATTCAAGGGCTTTTGTCTGCCTGCCCTTACAGTCCCAGGTCCCTCCTGCTGATGAGGATCAGAGGCACTGTCCTGAAAGCTGAGTGACCGCCCTGCCACTCAGCTGAAACATGGACTTTGCTGAGAGTATGCGGGCCTCAAAGTGGGTAGTTAAGGGTTGAGAAGAGTCCTACCCTGCGATGGGTTACCTGGTATGCAGTGCTCAAAGTGGGTAGTTAAGTGTTGAGAAGAGTCCTACCCTAAGATGGGTTACCTGGTGGGGCTAAGGTGTACAAGTAGAAGCAGCTTTGAGATCAGTTCTTTCTCTTGAGAAGGTGAGAAGCAGTTGGCTTAAGGGGTGGCCTTGGCTTCCTAGGATGGCCGCAAAGTTGGAGCAGACTGGTGGACTGGCCCCCATCCTGCTGGCGTTTTTCTTGGGGGTACTAAATGCCGTGTCCTTTCCTGTCTCAGCTCCTAAGCAGAAGAGAATGGAGAGGAGCCTGGAGGTGTGGCCCTCCACACCAGTACCTTGTATGTAGTTTCCCTTTGTACATTGTGAGTTCTCTTCAGCCAGCCACATCTGCAAGCTACTGAACACTCTTGTGGAAGGGAGACATGTTCACACTGCTAGTCTTTTGCAAATGACTTATAAATTAATCTTAAGTCCGCATAAGAAAAATCAGTCAGGCCAGGCAGAGCGGCACACACCTTTAATCTCAGCCCTTGGGAAGCAGAGGCCAGTGGATTTCTGTGAGTTCGAGGCTAGCCTGGTCTACATGGTGAGCTCCAAGCCAGCCAGGGTTATATAGTGAGACCATTATTTAAGAAGACAAGTCAGTCTGTGTTGGTTCTGGAGTGTGCCTCTTTTGGTAAGTAGGCTCATAGGGATTGTCGTCATGTGGCTATTAGAAGCTCACTCTCACAGGGAAAGATAACTGTCAAGTTTTTAAAAGTTTTATTTTGTGTGTATTTGTGGGGTAGGGGACACACATACCACAGCATGCAGGTGGAGGTCAGGGGACAACTTGGGGTCCTGGGGATCAAACTCAGGTCATCAGCCTGGCAGCAAGTACATTTACCCACAAGACACCACACCAGCTCCATCCTCAGGTTTTTTCTGTGAACTGAGTGTGTGTGTTCCGCGCATGCTGCACATGATCACATGGTCCCAACATTTCAAGCTGAGACTCATCGGACAGTGTTGCAGTCAGCCCAGAACCAAAGCATCATGTCAGACGGGCTGGGGCGTAAAAGTGAGCCTGTGTCAAGAGTCGCGCTGGCCTTGATGTGTGGGGCAGTGTTGGCTGTCCTGTGTCTCCGAGTCCCGCCCTCTGGGTGGGTGTGGTCTGGCCATAGAGGAGCCGCTTTTCACTCGAGTCTCTGAAGTGGAGCTCTCTGAATTTCTCAGGCGTATATCCGATGCCCCTCAGGAAATCCTAGCTTTCTGCTCCCCACTCACCCTGACAGCACTTGGATTTTTCTCTCTTCATTGTGATTCTTCCTTTGTTTTTAAGCAAGGGGTCGTTCATGTCCACTGGCCCCAGAACTTTACAGATCTCTTCCCTTTCTTTTGTCTCTTTCCAATTCACAGATGTGACGAGCTGGAGGGAGGGTGGTGGGCGAAACATCATTTCTGCCACGTCTCTGAACGCCTCCCCGACAGAGCTGGGCAGCAGGAACTCCAGCGCGGGAGATGGAGCCCCCTCCTCGACGTGCACCAGCGATTCTAAGGACCCCTCTCTCCGCCCGGCCCAGCCCATCCGCAGAGGGGCCTCGCAGTTCATGGGACATGTCTACCAGCCTCCCACTTACCATGACATGCTTCCTGCTTTTGTAAGTCTTCAGAGCATCTTGTCCTGAAGCTAAATGTCCTTTCTGTCCACCAGAACTGGCTCAGGTTGCTCAGCCTGAGCTCTCTGTCAGGATAATAGCCAGAGACCAATGTGGCCTACAGCAGAATCCACTGCCTTTTCCCAATCTACCGCCTCTGGCTTCTGCCTCTGGGGCTTGGATGGTGTAGCTTTGGTTCTTCAGAGAAAGGAGAGACAGATGTACCTAGCCTTCTTGAACCCAAGGCAGATGATGGGATGGTGTGCCGGGGTTCATGAGAAACCCTCTCCAGCCTTTTCTGTGCCCTTCCCCCATATTTCACTTCCAAAGTGAAGTCTTACTGAACATGTCATTGGGCCCTCACCAGAAAGTCCGACCTCCTGATGTTTATATTTCAGATGTGTTCACCACAGTCATCAGAGAACCAGGGTACGGTGGAGCGAAGTTCCTTCCCCGTTCCTCAGCTCCGCCTGGAACCCCGGGTTCCGTTTAGACAGTTCCAGATGAATGACCAAGATGGGTAAGGCTGAGCCTGTGGTCATGTGTGTCATTGTATGACGTGGATGTGCTCTGTGCTCTGCAGAGAGTGTGGTCATGTGTGTCATTGTATGACGTGGAGGTGCTCTGTGCTCTGCAGAGAGAACATCCTGGTGTTGGCGTGGGTGGCAGGGGATGGGCCTGGCAGGGAGCTTGGGTTAAGTCCCCACTGCAGGGGTTGGGCAGTAACTATGGTGGGGGTACCAGTGAGCATGTGGCGCTGTGGATGAAACACAACCCCATCTAGAATGTTTTTTATTGTTCATTGCATATTTCTTCTAAAAGGAAGTAATATATATAGATACTCAAACACCAGACTGCAAGGGGAACCTGTTTTTGGAAAGTGACTGCTTCATGTGAGTCCATTTTTCTTTTCTGTCTCATCAGGAAAGAAAGGTCCGGCCTGGCGCGCCCAGTACGCCCACTGAGGCAGCTGGTGGAGCGGGCACCTCGGCCCACTATCATCAACGCAGAGAACCTGAAGGGCCTGGATGATCTGGACACGGATGCCGACGATGGCTGGGCAGGTGGGGTCAGGAGGGACAGCAGCCGTGTGGCACCAGTGTGCTCTGTTCCCGTGTGTGCAGTCAGACCAGAGGGCACTCCCTGGCCAAGTGAAATCTTCTTTTGGTCTGTGCTCTTAAGTGTAGAGCTCTGGGAGATTGCTATTGAGCCTTTAAAAGAACTTGTGGAATTACAGGCATTTACTACTATGTCTGGCTAGAAATCCTCCATCCCATGCTGAGGATTAAACCCACGTGCACTGGGCTGTGTGCTTACATAGCTCCAAGGAGCTCCCCTGCCCTTGAGAAAGGGAAAAGTTGTCTTAAGTTCCATTTCTTCGTTTACCTGGGATACAGTGTGTGCATGCTGGCTTGCGCTCCTCTGTCACGCCACACCTGTGCTCAGAGGATGTCCTGGGAGTTGGTTTTCTTTCCGCTAAGTGTGTCCTGGTGCTCCAACTCAGGTCATTAGCCGTGGGGACAGGCACGTGACTATTTTGTGGCCCAAGCCCTGCCCTTTTTGAGGCATGGTCCTGCTCCAGCCTGCTAAGTGCTAGGGTTACAGGTGAGAGGTGCCCACCCCTACGGCTTAACCCTGAGCCATCGCATTGGTCTAGCAGTTCTCAGCCTATGGGTCTTGACCCCTTTGGGGGTGGCAGTGTTAGGAAAGTTGGGAACCACTGCTTCAGTCTGTTTTCCTTTTTAGAGACAGGATCTTATGTACCCCAGGCTGGTCTCACACCCAGACCCGCCACCTTGGTCCGCCACCTCCTCAGTGCTGGATTAACTGCTGCCCCACCTGCTCCTTGGTCAACAGAGTGTTGGCCCAGTGGGGGTCATATGGTTTCTAAGATCTATTTTTGTATTTTATGTATTTGAATGCTCTATTGACTTTTTGACAGAGGAGGGTATCAGATCCCACTATAGATGGCTGTGAGCCACCACGTGGTTGCTGGGAATTGAACTCAGGACCTCTGGAAGGGCAGCCAGTGATCTGGCCCGCTGAGCCATCTCTCCAGCCCACAGTTTCTATTCTTATTGGCATTTTGATTTGTCAGAGCTTTTATATATCAGCAGATTCTGTCAGCTCCTGTGATGTATCCATATACTGAGCTTTATCCATTTAGAAGTCTCATTAAGAGCAGTATCTTAAACCATGTGTGGTGGTGCACATTTTAATCCTAGTACTGAGAGGTGGAGGCAGGCAGATCTCTGTGAGTTTGAGGCCAGGCTGGTCTATAGAGCGAAGTCCAGGACAGCCAGTGCTACACAGAGAAACCGTGCCAAAAAAAAACAAAAACAAAAAACCAAAACAAAACAAAAACCCAAAGAGAGAGAGAGAGAGAGAGAGAGAGAGAGAGAGAGAGAGAGAGAGAGAGAGAGAGAAGTATCTTAGGAGCTCTAGAGAGATTGGGGGGGTTTGGGTTGGGGATTTAGCTCAGTGGGAGAGTGCTTACCTAGCAAGCACAAGGCCCTGGGTTCGATCCTTAGCTCTGGGGGAAAAAAATAGAGAGATGGCTTGGGTTAAGAGCATTGGCTGCTCTTCCAGGACCTGGATTCCGTTTCCAGAACCTTAACCATCTGTAGTTCCAGTTTCAGAGGATTCAACACCCTCTTCTGGTCTCCACAGTCAGGCAACACACACATACACACAATTCTATCCCAGTATGGTGGCATAGGCCTTTAATTCCGGGACTCAGGCAGAGGCAGGCAGATCTCTAGATCTCTGTGAGTCTGAGGCCAGCCTGGTCTGCAGAGTGAGTTCCAGAACAGCCAAAGCTACACAGAGAGGTCCTGTCTCAAAACCAAAACAAAAGAACAAAACAGAAACAAGAATGGGGGTCGGGCATGGCTAGAGAGAGAGTGCAGCGGTTAAAGCACTGGCTGCCCTTGCAGAGGACCTGGGTTCAGTTCCCTGCACCCATATCAGGTGGCTCATGTACACCAGGAACTCCAGTTTCTGGGTATCTGAAGCCCACTGACCCCCTTGGACTCCTGCATGCATGTGGTACACATAAACTCAGGAAGGCATACACACATCCATAATCAATAATTAAAAAGAAAGAAATGCACATTATTTAATAGGCTGGAGAGATGGCTCAGTGGTTAGGAATATCTCCTGTTGCAGAGGACCCCCCTGTGACTCCAGCTCCAGGAGATCAGATGCCCTCTTCTGGTTTACATGGGCACCTGTTGACACACACAATCATTCACAAAGATACACACACACATATGAATAAAAATAAATCTTTCCAAATCACCTTTTGCTTCCAGTCTGAATATTCTTTGCCTTCCTTGAGGGCAGTGATGTTCATGTTCCCTGGTGTCCAGCGGTCCTGTTGCCTGTGATACCGGCCCATTGTTAACACTTGTTGAGTCGTCCCCTTGACGGGTCTGGCACCTTTGCCAGATGTCATCCAGGTCGATCCCTGTCTGTGCTTGAATGCTTTTATTTCCATGGCCAAGTTCAGCTGTGCCAATCATAGTGAATCTTAAACTCAGATAGCATGAGCTTTCTACCCTCTTTCTTTGCAAGTTTGGTTCCTCAAGTTCTTTACTGGTCTCTGCAAATTTGGACTCCGCCCTGGCAGTATTTACGAAAATCTGCTTCTCTGTCAAGTTCAGCCACTCAGTCTTGACTCCTGCGTTTCAGGGTCCCAGTGAGTCTCCGCAGGTCTCTCCTTTCTCATTAGTGTTCTATAGTTGTCAGTAGAGAGAATCTTTCTTTATTTTAAAGATTATTTTATTTTTGATTATGTATCTTGTGTGTGGCCATGTACACCTGAGTGCAAATACTCTCTGAGGCCAGAAGAGGGTGTCAGATCCTTTGGAGCTGTATTTATAGATGGTTCCTGGATACCAAACTTGAGTTCTCTGCAAGAGTAATATATCATCCTAACAGCTGGACCCTGTCTCAGGTCAGTAGAGAGGATCGTATGTTTTCTGGTAATTTTATTCATATTCCTATTAATCTATACGTTACCACATGGCTGTGGCTTTACCAGTCTGCTGGCATCTTGTTACTCCTTTGGTGGCGGCTGGCATCTCTCTCCCAACTCCGCCCCTCTTCTCCCTGTATCTCTGCTTGGATGTCCCGCTTGGCTGTAAGTTTTCTTGCCATAAGCAAAACAACTTTATTATCCAATGGGAGTCACACATATTACAGCATAAGAAAGACATTCCACAGCACTTCCCCTTTTCTGTCTAATCAAAAAGGAAGATTTTAATTTTAACATAGTAAACAAAGTAGTTATCAAGCAAGAATTATACTTACTATATCTAGTCTATTTGTATTTGGCAAAATTAAAGAAAATATTCTGTTATCTATCCTATTGTTGAGTCTAAAGTTCCATACGTAATTTATCTTTTATCGTGTCTAAGGAAAACTATAAATATATCTAGCTTCAACTCCATCAAAGACCCCAGAAGGATATAATATTACCTGAGTAAACAGGAAGTGCGTGGCAAGCAACTTCCATAGTTCTCGAAATGATAAAGGCCTCTGACTGCCTGGACAGTCATCCAAAGTTCCTCTGTAACATTGGGGCATCTGTTTTCAGTCTACAGGCCTATAGTCTCTGGCATAGCTTTCAGTAAAGCAGGAAATTCTAAGGGCTTTTCTGCCCATTCTGGCAAAGTTCATCAGTTACTTCTCCTCATGTCCTGTAGAATGTCTGGCAGTTTCTTCTGTGAAGCAGGAACCTGAAGAACCATCTCATCTTGCAGAGTTCAGTGGTCACCTTCCTATGGGTCCTGCATGTCCAGTTTATACAGCATATTGTCAAGCAGTCGAGGCAAGGGCACTTTTTTGCCCAGAGGCTACCTTTTGCCACAAAGACAGCAAACTCCATAACAACTTTCTTCAATGCCCATCATCCTCTTTGAAGTAATTGGTGCTGCCAGGAGCAGCAGACGTGTCTCACTGTCCAGAAAAGTCCAAGTTCTTAAAACATTTTAAATGCCATATTCTGTAGGTCTTTGAAGTGTTTGAAGATTACCTACCTAATTGAAATATACCTTTGTATACCTAAAAATCTTAACTAACACGACTATACGTTTGATTATCACAGATGACTAATTATTAATCTGTATTTCTTATTTATACATTACAATTTTAAATGAATCGCATAAACATAGTACCTTAAACAAGAGTAGAAATATATATACAGTATTATAACAAAATTAACTTTAAATTTGTATCAATAAGCTAAAATCCATAGCAATGTAAAACATTTCAAACACGTTGTTGCTCTTTAAAAGTAGATTTAATGATCTACCCTTTCATCCTATCCTATCTATATCCTCTTTTCTTTTTTTAGAAAGATTGCATTTATAATCAACCTCCTTTAAATAAAAATAGACATAAAGAATATTTTTGCAATTTGGACATAGCTTCCCATACTACTTCCTGCTGTCAATCTTATGTGGGTCCTGAGAAAATTAAGAATTATAGTTAAATCTTGCTGTAGTAGTCTGTGAGGCTATATCATCTCAGCCAGTTGCCTTGAAAGCAGTTTTGGATGTTGGATCATCTGGGCCATGACTGTCTTTCAGGGGGTCTCAGTTGGTCAAACCATATTAATCTGGAAGCAATCCACAGGTTCTCATCTCCTGTAGAAACAAAAGCAGAACCTCTTTTCCATAGCAACGTATCATTAAACACAAATTTTGAAGTCAAGATACCTTTAAAATATACATACTGGTTTAACTTAGTAGCTCCTGCAATCAAATGTCTCTCTGCAGTTAAAAATCCCAAAAACAATGTAATAATATGCAGTATCCAGATTCTTTGTGCAATTTCTATCCTTAAGGTGGCTTAACTTTCTTATTATTCTTACTGTCTCTTTAAAGATTTTATTTTTTGAAACTGTCTATTTCTTTATATAACTGCCTATAATCCTTTTCCTCTCTCTTCCAAGTCTACGTACATTTTTACACACCCTGTACACTGTTTAGAGTTTTATTCCATCTGAATCTGTCTTACAGTGAATCTGTAATCATTTTTGACCATTGGTTTAAACCGCAGTGTGGCTAGGACAGCAGTGGCAGCCCTGGCTGCTGGCTCCGCCCACCTTAGCTGCCCAACATGGCGGAGGTACGTTTATCGCCAACTCTAGGAAAGAGTGGGTCTGTGCCTGCATCCCACAGCATATAGCCCACTGCAGGGCTTGGAGGTACCTCTGTGTACCTCGGCAGGACTTGGCCATGCCGCTTAGCTCATGGCAGCCGGCACCAGCTCCATCTGGCAGGCAGCTGTGGGATCTGCACTGCTGCTGGCATGAGACTGTGAGACTAAGAAGCCCAGTGTGGCTCCGTTTCTGTGCCTTCAAAATCTTTAAGCTTTCTTAGGTCTATGTGGATCAGTGCCCAGGGGTGAGTGCCGTTGTCCTGTGGTGATGATCTTAGACATGTGGGCTGCTAAGGGTAGAGGATCCCTTGAGACCAGCCTGGGACTAGAAATAAAACTCTGTCTCTTTTTCACAATGGGTAGTAGGAGCCTGGGTGTATGGCTCAGTTAATAGTGATTGTCCAACATGCAGAAGGCGGTGGGCTCCATCTCCACCGTATGGATTGTCTGGGGTGGCCAGGGGTGGCAAGGAGATGGGACTACATAGCAAGTTCAAGTCCAGCCTGTGACACATGGAAATGTCTCCTGAGTAAATAAAGATGATAGTTTTCAGGTTCTTCATGTTTGTTTAGTTGGTGATTGGTTGGTTAGTTTTTCGAGACGGTTTCTCTGTATAGCCCTGGCTGTCCTGGAACACACTCCGTAGACCAGGCTAGCCTCTGCTCCCAGAGATCCGCCTGCCTTTGCCTCCAGAGTGCTGGGATTATTAATGTTGTGCGCCACCGCCGCCCGGCTTGGTATTTTATGGTTTAGATACCGCTATAAATGCAGTTCTTTTTTTGTTTGGTTTGGTTTGGTTTGGTTTATTTAAGACAGGGTTTCTCTGTGTAACCCTAGCTGTTTTGGAACTCACTTCGAAGACCAGGCTGGACTCAAACTCACAGTGATCCACCTGCCTCTGCCTCCCTATGTGATTTAAGGTGTGCGCCACCACCGCTCAGCTGAGTGTGGGGTTCTTTTCTGGGCAAATCAGGAATGAAGAAAGGGAAGTGCCCAGCTGGCTTCTCTTTCCCTTTTCCTTCAGCCCGGGGCTCCGGCCCGGGCACTTGAAGCCCACATTCAGTGCGGTCTTCCCTCCTCGGTCTCTTCTGCTTATCATTCACGAAGTGAGACACCCCAAATTAGGCCTCACTAGTGCCCTGGCATTGCTTAATCAAGTCAGATTGATGATCAGAAATGATTTTCCTGCTCCTTGGTATTCATTTTATATATTTATTTTAAAGGACGTGCGTTTTTTTTGTTTTTGTTTTTGTTTTCTAATTATTGAGGCATTTCTAAGTTTTTACTTTGATTTTAAGGTAAATTCAAGAACATTTTCTGTGTGGTTTTAGTTCCATTCAGTGTACTGAGACTTGTCTTATTTATGGCCATATAACCCTGAGCACACCGATCTCCTCTGATCTCAGAAGCTAAGCAGGGTTAGGCCTGATTAGTACTTGAATGGCAAACTTATGGGCTTGTTTGTTTTTGAAACAGGGTTTCTCTGAGTAGCCCAGGCTATCCTAGAACTTGCTCTGTAGACCAGGCTAGCCTCAAACTCAGATGTGTCTGCCTCTGCCTCCCAAGTGCTGGGATTAAAGGCGTGCACCACCACCCAGTGAGACTTGTCTTATGACCAGGACGATCTGTCTTGGAGAGCATCCCAAGTGTGCTTGAAAAGCTGTGTATAATAGCCAGTATAGCCGGGTGCTAGAGGTGTCCTTCCCAACTTAGGTACTTACTGTGGTTCCATTCAGGTGTATCCTGGCCTGGACTGTGATATATTAAACCTCTGCTCTGATTGTGGATTTGCATATGTCTGTCTTTAAATCTCTTGGGCTTCTGATGCGTTTATTTTGAAATATGTTGGTATTTAACCTCTTCACTCTGCACATTTCCACACCTCATGATGTTTTCTAGCTGTTTTTTGGCTTGGCTCTCTTGTGCTTTGTTAATGCTGTCGTTCTTTAGTTAATTAACTCATCTATTGGTGTGTGTGATGTATGCTGTGTGTGTGGTGTATGCTGTGTGGTTTGGGTGTGTAGAGGTCACAAGTTGACATAGGATTTCTTCCTCACTTTCTTGTCCACCTCATAAACTTTTTTTTAAATTTTAGATTTATGTATTTATGTGTATGACTGTTGATCCAGCATGCATGTATATGTACTAGGATCCCCTGGAACTAGGGTTACTGATGGTTTTGAGTTGCCAGATGAGTGCCGAGCTGAACCCTGGTCCTCTCCAAGAGTGACAAGGGCTTTTAACCACTGAGACATCTCTCCAGCCTCCGGAGACCTTACTTTTGAGATAGCGTCTTTCACTGAACTGGAAGTTCACCGTTTTACCCTGGCTGCCTGGATTCCATCTGTGTCCACCCCTCAGTGTGGGGGAGAGCAGCGGTTATAGGTGTGCACCGGTATATCTGATGTCTGTGGATGGTTATAGGTGTGCACCCGTATATCTGACGTCTGTGTGGATGGTTATAGGCGTGCACTGGTATATCTGACGTCTGTGGATGGTTATAGGTGTGCACCGGTATATCTGATGTCTGTGTGGATGGTTATAGGCGTGCCCCGGTATATCTGACGTCTGTGGATGGTTATAGGCGTGCACCAGTATATCTGACGTCTGTGGATGGTTATAGGCGTGCACCGGTATATCTGACGTCTGTGTGGATGGTTATAGGCGTGCACCGGTATATCTGACGTCTGTG